GGGGGGGGCGTGTCAACACTTGTGACTCCAGCACCCGCCAAATACTCATACCCTAAATCAGGGGTCCTCAAGCTTTTTAAACTTCTTTGCGCCAACGAGGAGCACCTTATGCTGCACACGAGCTTGAAGACCTGTCTTCGCTCTCCGGGGTCAGACGTAGAACTATTTCCCGGTGAACCATGTGATACCAACTGACCTTGCTGTCCCCGAGATGATGATCCTGAACCCCCAAGCCTCACAAGCCCTGGTGCTTGGTGACAGTTAAGATGTTTTCATCACTTTGAGCCCCGTAAACTTTATTCAGTCACAGATATCTGCACAGCATAGGTAAATAGACACACCTGTAGCGCTGTCCTCCCCCTCGCTCCCACACCTACATGCGTGTGCCTGCATCGACTGTAAGTCACAGTCACTGTAGGATTGCCTACCCCAGTGGTTCTCAACCTGTGGGCCTCGACCCCTTTGAGGGCCGAACGACCCTTTCACAGGGGTCACCTAAGACCACTGGAAAACATATTTCCTGTGGTCTTAGGAACCGAGACACCGCTCCTCTATCCATCGAGACGGTCCGCCTACATGCAGCCAGGCCCACAGATGAGTACCCGGTATGAAGTACCCCTGCTACACCATGCTTCAAGACAAAGTTTCATTTATTTGTCTTTAGAAACAGATATTTCACAATATATAATTACATATTGCTTTTGTGATGAATCATATGCTTTAATTATGTTCAGTTTGTATCAATGAAAATACATGTTGCATATCAGGTATTTACATTACGATTCATATCAGTAGCAAAATGACAGTTATGAAGTAGCAACGAAACTAGGTTTTTGGTTGTGGGTCACTACCACATGAGCTGTATGAAAGGGTCGCGGCATGAGGGAGGTTGAGCATCTTTGTAAACCGCGGAGCAGTAGGTGCTGTTTGAAACCAGTACAGCTATGTCTGTAGCCACAGTGTTTAAAATTAAGACTCTTAATTAACTCCCTACTGGAACAATCGAGATAACTTTTGGAGAGTTTGAGGTGTTTGCTTATAATATGTAAGGCTGTCAACGACTCTCTAGTGTCTTTCAAGATTTTAAATATGTTTTAAGGTTTTACTACTTTCTAATATATCAAAAGGCTTTAGTCCTCAACTTGAATAGGAATGAAAGAAAGCATTGTTTTGGTATAACTAACTTCTATGCTTGAAAATATCTTCTCAGGAGCCAAGTTTCGCAAGTACGTGGGCCACTCTGCACACGTCACCAATGTCCGCTGGTCTCACGACTTCCAGTGGGTGCTGAGCACAGGCGGGGCAGACCACTCGGTTTTCCAGTGGAGATTCATCCCAGAGGGCGTCACCAACGACATGCCGGAGGCCACGCCCCACGGTAAAGCCCACGGGACGTGTTCAAAACCTGTTGGGTTTTCCGTGAGCGAAAGGTCAAAGACTAACATCTACTCTGGAGACAAAGGGTGGAAGCTCTTTGGAAAAGGTCATGTTTGGAAAAGGTCATGTTTCTAGTTAAGGCCGGCCAGACATGGAAGGAAGGTGGGAAGGAATTGTTAAAAGTAGGAAGGGCAATTTCTTGAGATGAACGTGGGTCAGTGAGATAATTTTCTTGAAAAGAGTTTGCTTTACTCCTGAACACAAGCTGCAGGTGTTTCTATGAGGACACCTGTGGAGACAGCC